GATTTTGAAATATTGCCTCCAGTCAAACTTATTTTAATGTTTGATATTAGAAATAAAGTTTAAATCTGACTCAGGCTGTAAAATATGGTTATTGTTAAACCATGGCACAGATGTATGACACTTTACCACACACATGGATTTGATTGAAAATTACAAAGAATACACAAAGAAAATACAGCAGAGTGAAGAATGAGAGGGAGAGGGGGAGAGAGTGAAGGACGCGCTGGCTGGAAGCTGATTGGCCACTTGACAGGCGCTGTTGATTCAGGCGCCCACCGCGCAAAAAGATAAGATAAAGGCCATATAAAATAAGGGAGATGCGCATCCATCCTTCACTGTCAGCTGCACATATAGTGTCTGCTGCCTCCAGCTAAAAGAGAGGATTAACAAGGACAACTGGCTGCCTCTTTATCCGAGCATCACCTGTCAAGTGAGTGCAAATATATCCATCCGGCTCAAGTTTGTTTTTAAATCAAGTTGTGATCTTATCCAGATTTTCTAGATAGTGGAGTTTATTCTGCCTCCTTTTATTACTTAAACCAGTTAAAGAGGCAAAAATCTGCACAGTAAATAAGTGAAATGATTTCAGCACAGATTAATAAAATGTTTGGAGAGTTTATTAATGAGTTTGGAAAATGTGATTTTCAGATTCTGAAGCTTAAAAAAGACTTTAGAGAGAGAGAGTTTAGAGATTAAATGATTCTTGACATTATTTAATATTTCCCTGATTGCAAACTCCTCTAAAATATGATTATGCTACAGTTTTTATTATATTTAACTCTGTTTGCACAGGATGTCTCCTAAAGTGCGGTGCGCCCCCTGTGACCTGCGCACATCCAGAGGGGCAGTGGCGCTCGGCAGGTTTTCTGTTCGCAGCCCCGCGAATGAGGCCGGTGACACCTCGGAAGACTCCAGTGAAACTTTCCCTCGAAAACCACCGACTTTCCTGGGAGGGGAAAACCTAAAACTCAGAACCAGGTGTGAGAAGTCCGGCAGGCGCAGGATGAAGGCAAACGATCGGGAGCGCCACCGGATGCACAACCTGAACTCCGCTCTGGACGCGCTCAGGAGCATCCTGCCGGCACTGCCCGAAGACACGAAGCTGACCAAGATCGAAACTCTGCGCTTTGCCCACAACTACATCTGGGCTCTGACCGAGACTCTGCGCATGGCCGGGCACCCGCCGGAGTACCTGCCGGTGGGGTCGGATCTGTGCAGCCCGACGAGTGTCTCATCCGCAGAGTGGGACTCAGTGTCGTCCCCTGGTTGTGTGACCTCAGCTGACTGTTACACATCAGCTCATGAGGTGAACTGTAAGATTATATCAGACCAGTCCAGTGTTATCCCCGTTACCTTTTATTTCACCTCATTCGGTGGTGGGAATGATCTCAACAACACTTGGCACTGATCACTTGTAACATATCCATCTTTATCTGCCCACATGTCCAGAGCTGCTCTCTGTGGGCTGGACCTTTAAACCTGAACCAGATGATGTCAGAGCAAGGTCAAAAACACCTGCAGTGACATCACTGACTGAATCCTAATTGGCCAGAGAGATAACCAAGCTTCCGCCCATGCAGAGCAGTGCAGCAGCATTTTCTACCTTCAGTGTCCATTGATTTGTTTAAAGAGTCACAAACCAGAATCTGATCACCTTTCCAAAAGGAAGCCATAACTGCAAGTTGGGGATTTCATCACCATGTTGCACTCTTTCACAAAAAAACAAAACAAAACACCACGAAGCACAATCAATAATTTAGGAAGACGAGATCATTTGTTTGAGCTAAAAATATTTATTTGGTATTCAAATGTGTTTTTGAGCTATTTTTTGATGCATAATAGAGGTCTATTTATTTAATAAAAACATTAGAAAACACGTCTCTTGGGGTGAAAAGTACTTTCCATGATTCAAAAAAAGAACATAATGAACACGTACAAAGACAAATATTACATAAACACAGTGGCTGTCATTCAAATGGAAAACTTTTTTCTTTTTTTTTTTAAGGGAGTGAAAAAATGAATGCCATCATCTCGTAGTATTCATCAATTTTTCTTTCGTAGATGCCAAAGTTAATGTGCAAATCAACATTTTTCAAAGATGTGGTTCTTTATGGTCCTGCCTACCAGTGACTGTACTGAAGCGCAATGCGAGAGAGAAGTCGTTGGAGTAGCATGAGCTAAACTGCTGCGAGGTCCTGGATCATGTCGTGGTGTCGATCTCCATCGTGGCGTGCAGTCCGAGGCGGAGCTCAGCGGGGCGCTCTACTTGGGGAAGACGGTGACCACGTCGTAGCCCTCAGGCGGAGTCACCCGCTCGCGTGCGTGCTTCTCACAATAAATCTGGTCCTCCACAAAGAAATGTCCCTTCTGTTTCAGGTTGATGTCGCAGTCCGTGCAGGTGTAGCACTCGGGGTGACGGAACTTGTCCCTCAGCTTCACCACCATCCCCCTGAAAGCAGAGATACAAACATCACATTCAGCTCCATCAACACAAAACTACAAGTTTATCCAGACATTGATTCATAAACTGGATTTAAATGATGAGAAAAGTATGTGGACGACTGAATAGTGAGCAGGGTGACCGATGGCTGATCTATAATGCCAATATCAACACAAAGGAAAGTCATGTATGATTCCTTTATTCTGTGCACATTACAATCTAATATACATGCTTATTTTAACAGGTAACATGTTTTACCTGGAATTTATATTAGTTAATAAAACAGAAAAATACATTGGTTTATGCTGTATTTAAGGGAAACTGGGTTACAGAATGTCAGAAGTTACATCATTCAACTGCATTATTATGACATAATATGAATAAAACACTAGCCAGTAACGGTTTTAGATTAGTTTTGCTGTCATTTAGGGAAAAAAGACGACGGTGAGTGAGGAAATTTAGGCAAACGTTTACTGCAGGATGCAGGAGAGTTATAGAACTTTCCCAAAACTCCCAATTTCCTGTGCTGATTATCTCAAAATGCCAGATAATCAGAGCGATTAATGGGAAACAATGGGCATAAATCTGCTGCTTTAAGAGCCTCAAATCTTCTGGAAAGGTTTACCAAGAAATGTCTGAACCTGGCTGCAGGGATTTACTCGCACTCAGCCACGAGAGCATTAGTGAGGTCCAGCACTGACGGGTGGTGATGAAGTCTGTCTCACCAGTCGAGTTCTTCCACATCACACACACAAATCAATATGAGATCAATATCGATTTGCCAAATGAACACAATCAGAACTCACAAACACTAACTAAGATATGATTGGACAATGATTTAATTACTGACTATATGACTTTTAAATGAGAAACAATCTATTATTTTCAATAAAGAGAGAAAAAGACCTTCTTGTGGTTCAGTTTTTGTAAAATAAAGCTGTTGAGGTGGCATCAGACATGAGGATGAACAGATTTGTACTTCCTGAGTATTTTATCTTGTAATGGTGCTGTTTGCATGTGGTTTGCGCTTCATCTGTTAAACTGTACTTTCTCCGATATCCAAAATATATTCACATACCCTCAGTCTTTTTCTTGGCCGTCGGCCATTATGTGCCTGGGGCTAGTTTGAATATTCAGGAAGGGAGAAATGTTGGTGGATGGAAACGGTGACCAGGTGCTCCACTTTATGTGTCTCACATATTGATTCACTATAGTTTTAAAAAAGTCACAGCTTTTTTTTTTTTTAATGTGACTCAAACTGTACACACGTGGGTCAAGAGCACTCTTACGCTGCGTTCAACAGCGAACATTCACCACAAAGTCACAAGCTCTGCAGTTTTAGGCGGAATATGATTGAAACTACCACAAAGAAAAAGGAAATGCAGCTACATCAAAGACTGGTAAACTACGTGTGACCACACATTTGGTTTGTTGGGATCTGATCGCCCTACACAGTATAACATGAGAATTTCAAAATAAAGGCATATCTTAAAGATGATGAGGTGGATAGATATTTTCAGATGTGAGTTTATTTATTTGATAGTGACGATGCAGTTTAACATAGTTCCAATACAAAGCCTGAAACTGATGTGCTGCACAGAGTTTATAGCTATTGATACTGTTTCAGTTTTGATCCAAAGCAATAGATCATTACACCCCTCGTAAGAGAATCTCAACTAAAAGTACAGATATGTTTCTAACTTCTTAAGTAGAATACATAATCTCTTAACCCATAATGTATGTGAACTATTAAGTGAGCTGGATACCCTCTTTTTCACTGTACTATGCAATGTGTACGTATATGTAAAAATGTTTGTTAATCTTAAATGATACAGATGTACTGTACTAAGTTTTTTTTTTTTTTTAAATTACAGAATAGGTTTGGGGGGAAATCCACTAACATGTCAAACTTCAAGGCAGCAACAGGGCTGTCAGAGAAGAAGCTGATATGTGAGGTATGTGCTTTACTTAAATCCTGCCACAAGGTGGAGACAAACTCCAACCAGAAACAACACCTCTGCTGCCCTTGTGCTGCGTCACAACATTGTGTCACAATGTGAACGTTTCTGAGTGTAAAAGCACAAAGATAAAGAGCAGGTTTCACTGAATGCAGATGTGAGCCGATATTTGAGGTTTGGATTCAGTTGAAGCCATAAATGACTCTGGTGCACTTCCTCAGAGCTGCACAACAAACGTGATCTGTCAAACCCTTCTAAGGAACCATAAAATACTTACACAATCCCGGATCCACATTTGTCACAGGAAGGTAACTTGTCTGTGTTCCCAACAGATGATCCCATCTTTGTTGAAGGTGCTTTCACGCTCCTGAACCCTGACGGTTTATCAGAGTCACCTATAAACACACACAGATTGACACAGAACTTAAACTTTTTGAGGTTTCACTGGCTCTTTTTATCAGGATATCAGGACAAAACCAAAAAACAACTAATCAATCTGTTATCTAATTAAAAATGAAACATGCCCCAAAGCTCCACATTGTAAAAGAGAAACCCCTGATCACCCTTTGAGGAAGCTGTGAGTAATAACCGGGCGTTGTACCTGTCTCCAGAATCTCCTGAAGCACTTTGAATGAAGCCGACTGTCGAGGAGGCTCGTCAGACTCTTGGTTCTCCTGCAGCATCTTGTAAACCTCCGAATCTGCTGCTACAGGCGGCCGCTTCTGCGATGGATCTAACGGAGCTCTGCAAAGCAAGTGTGAGCATTTAAAATAGGTCTGCAGGAGTCACAGGACGCATAAAACATCCTCAGGAGAGAAACACCTCATCTCTTCCATTTACTCCTGATGTTGATACACAGTGTGGCTGTAAAAGTCCAAGAGATCACAAAACCTTAGCTTCTTTTGTGCCTCTTGTCTCATTTTCACTTCTCTTATAGTTCAACATTGTCTTATACCATCATCCTTTTCCTGGTTTTAAAGGCGGCTTTAAGTGATACTTGACTATAGCTCAGTGCTGGGCGATATACTGCTGTTACTCATGTTTGTTGTGCAAAAGAACAGTTTAGAAATATCTCTGAATACTTAAATACTTTGAGTATTTTAGTCAGTTTATAGTGTTTATACAACTGTTTCAAAGTTACAAAGCATTGTTTAAGTTCTGCTTTTACTACATTGCAGTTTGCACAATAAAAATTGTTGACATTCTGCAACTGTTTCTTCATATATGGTTTCATTTTGTGGGGCCAAGAACAAGTCCTCACTATATACATGATGAAATAAAATATTTTTATGTTCTGTGCACTGCTGACAGTAGAATGAGGGCAATATAAATCTGACATAAAAAGGCCCTGACATGCAAAAAAATCAAAAAATACTGTGATACAACTGTTTGGTCATACTGTTCAGCACTATTATAGCTGAATAGAGTGAATACTTCTACCTGCTTGGCCATCATATCCACATTACTGATGTTTTGTAAAGACATAGAAGCGGGTGTAGTGTATAATAGTAAATAGAACCACTTTATTGTTGGTCTAACAGTAAAGTTGCTCTATTTAATACAAGTGTTGCTGGAGTTTTGACCTATAAAGACACCTTCCAGACTTTTGGGCGATGGCCTAAATCTTGCAAGCTCAGTTTTTGCTGAGCAAACAAATCAAAAATCCACTGAGAATCAGCTTATTTCAGCAGTTAGAAGCTGACCTATCAGTGATCTATAGGAGAGTGCTTTCAATCAATAAAATTATTGATTCTTACAGGCATTGTGATCCTTTCTTTTAAGACTTTAACATTGGAGCTCTTTTGGCTCTTTTGAATGTTTTTCCTGAGGAGTGTGTGCAGTAAAAAAGTAGCTTCAAAGAGAAAAAGTACTAATCATGTTATATAATTGGAGATAAATTGATCAAATAGACTGTGAAACATAAGTAATACACAACAAAAAACAGGCGTCCTAAGTCGAACATTAAGCTTTTAAAGCATGTAAGCAACCTTCGAGGGGAGTGGAGCGTGTTGTTAAACTTTGACCTGCTCTCTCATTTCTCAGGTGATGGTATATTGACACACTGGATTTTACAAAGTAGAGGAGAAACAGAGCCGAGTAAGAGCCACAGAGAACTTACATATACGCCGTGAGTCACTACAAGTTTTATAGCAAAGCATTCAGTCATTGAAGGTGAACTATATAGGGAAAAAATACTCCACACTGTCTGGAAACTCAGTTAAGAAGCTGCAGACTCATGATAATGAAACCAGACTGTTTTCATGACGGTTATTAATAATAAAGTGACTGTAATTATGGTCATACAGTGCACTGAATAAAAGATCCATCGAGAGGCATTGTGTCAAGTTTTGATCTAACCTTTGTGATGACGCCTCCAACAAAGACACACGCCCTGTTAAAACCACAATAACCACAGGACGCTGTCTGGGGCTTCCTCTGTGAGGAACATATCACTCATCTAAAGCAACAATGGAGCTTTAAATAGCCAGATTATTGATACTGATATAATTAAAAAAAAGGACCAGTGCGCAGGATTTTAGTGGCATCTAGCGGTGAAGTTGCAGATTGCAACTAACTGAACACCGCTCGTGTCTTTAATAGACGATTGAGAACAGGGCTGTGAAGTGTGTAGCAGAAATTATGGTTATTATATTACACTGGAAGTCTAAAATTCAATATGCAATCCTTTTACATTTTGTCTAAAGCTCATTAATACCACCGCATTTGTTTTGGGGTCTGTCTTGACTTAATCTTGACCCCCCCTTGGGATCCAGCCTGGACTCGGGACGGGGCTAAAGTGGGGTCATTTCAGGCTTTATCTTACTTGGTGCTGGGCTCATTAGCAGTCGCCAAGGTTTTAACTTCGTCCACAGCTGAGTTGAAGTCCTTGATGTTCTCTGAAGAGTAGAGACCAGAGGGGCTGTTGTACTGGTTGGTCACAACTTTGGAGCCAAAGCCGGTGAACGGCAGAGCACTCCTGTTGTGGGTCGAGCCGATGTGTTTCACCTCCTGTGAAAATGAACGTAAAATTGTACCGTTTAGCTTTTTGTGAGTGACCAAGCAACAAGGTGGTAAGTGCAGGTATCAAGAGCCAGATGTATAAAACTCTTCCTCTTTAAATAAAAGTCTATGTGTGGGAAGAGACACATTGTTTATACTTCTGGTCCCAGGTTTGTGAAAGAACTCACGCTGCCGGAAACATGCAAACGCTCCTGTAGAGCCAACCTTGATACAATGGTGGTCTTTTTTTGACGCCTTCAGATGAACTTTTACTTTGAGGTTTGCACATGTAAGAACCTGCAGCTGCTATCATGTTAGTTATTATCATTACTCAACACATGAAAACACCCAACCTCTAGTGTTTTCAGAAATGAATTCAATAATGTTGCAACTGCAGACTTTGAGAACTCAACTTAAAAACGTCAAAAAAGAACAACATATAGTTTGACTCAAAGTCACACATAATTTAACGGGATAATGTAGGACTACGGATTATGCCTTAATTACAGCTAACGGTCTTTAAAGACAAGCACGTCACGACACTGGCATGCCATCAAAGTGGGCACATAAATACCACCAAATCTAGCTCATGCTTCGCAGCGGGAACACGGAAATGCCTCCAAATATAGCTCATGCTTCAAGCATCTGACATTTTAAATTGCAGAATTCCCTTGAGAGTCGTCTGCGAGCAAAGTTAACTTACACAAAGGAGGAACAGACAACTCCAGCCTAGACCAATGTTATAGCAGCCTAAAAAGTACGAAGCCATGGCTTAAAGGTGAAGAGGCATCAAAAGTGACAAGCGTTTGAAACACGTGTTATTGTGTGTGTGAGAGAAAAATGCAACATCTGTGAAACACACACAGCCTGAGACACATCACACAATTTCCTACATGAATTCACACTTTGGCCTCAACTTTCCAGTCAGAGTGGTCAGGAACTGAGGGTTGCGTCAGAGCTTGGCTGATAAAACTACCGTCTCCTAGGAAACCTCCTGTTGGGAAGTAAACAATGACTTCATCGTTGGCAGGATCAAGAAAAAAAAACCCACAAGGCTTTTTGGGCGCAGTGGGAAAGGAATGTGCAGACTTCCAGAAAGTGTATGGCTACCTGTAAATGGGATTTCCCCTGATTTCAATCTAAAAAGGAAGGAAATGTAAAAGTCCTACAAGCAGCTGTGATGTTGAGACAGCAGACACACACCTTGGGCTCTGATGCAAGATTCATCTTGTATGGATGTGTCCTCCCTTCCTCAGATGCAAGCGGTGACCACATTTTAGTTTCTGACCTGCAGAAGAGAGGTGGGGACAAGAAGTCATCAGAAATATGGTTTTAAAATGATTTACATAACCATACACATTTTTCTTTTTCTGCTTCTGGGTGTGTTTTCCTGTATGGCCGCACATGAACCTGAACGCAACAGAGCCCTCGCAGGTAAATTCTTCTGCTCGGCTTCCTCAAAAGTTTACCCCACCCCGCCTGCGTTCAACACATTCCCTCCTAATTTGAACAAACACTTTTGCTTCAACCTGCCTTCTGAATCCATTTCAACATCCCTGCTGCATGAAATCATCCGTAACTTTATGATGTAATGCGCCGACGTGACACAGAATTACACCACCGCTCAGCACACATTCACTTCTCGAAACTTAACAATTCAGCGAAAACAAAGCACAGACTCACTCTTCAAAAACAATGAATAAACACGACATGACTGTCTGAACACCTGGATTGCGGCGGAACTGTCTTGTATTACTCAGCGTCCTTCGAGGCCCGCGGCTATGCAGATCAGACCAACGCATGTTGCTACAAATACAAACCTACCGGTCTACGGAGAGCACCATCTCCTCTATGCACCCCTTGATCTTGTTCTGCGCTTCCAAGTGAGTCATGTTCTCTGTCGGCTCTCCGTCGATGGCCAGGATCATGTCTCCAATACACAGGTTGGCCTGTGCAGCTTTACTCCCAGGGGTGACCTACAACACAGGAGACATAATAGATTAAAAACAGAATCTTTCTTTGGTTATATTTGAGCTTGGATAGAAGAAGCTTTACTTCTATATCTATTTACTTGAACCAAGAACATGTAGAGACCACAGCTTTGCTTCGCAGTCAGGTATAACCTTATGGTCTTAAAGCGTCTTTTCTAATCAGATCTTAATTCTACTGCTGTGTTGTTCGACTGTGTCCTTCAAGGACCTTTACCCACATTTCATTATTTACAGTACACACAGGCAAAGCCACTCGCACAGAGGTGTTTTCAGAGAGTTGCCTCGAGGGCAGCAGACACTCTGTCCAAGATAAAGGCTCGAAGCAGAGAGAGAGCGAGGGGGAGTCTGGCACCGTCCAGGAACTCCTAATCACTTTTCCATGGTGGGCAGACCACTGTAACAACATTTACACCAGGAGCGTCTGCCTCCACTCAGGCAAAGTACACAGTGGACAGCCATATTCTGATCCATTACTGTTACAGGAGTGTCACACAGACATGTATGTATGATGTCTAATCAAAAACACTGTATTGATTATTGTGTTTAACCCCCCCCCACTGATAGCAGTGTTGTAAACTGAGGGCTGTGTGTTGGATAGAGATAAATACAAATATAGATCCTAAGCCTGTTCTAGTTGCATTAAAAAAGTAATGTAGTGTTTTTAAACTTAGATTTCATGCTCATGTATTTAAAAATTGCAATATATCACAATATATTGAACTGTACCCTCTGTATAGTGATACGTATTATATGGCCTGAATCAGTTTTATTGCCAAGTAGGTTCAGTCTATTGGTGCATAACAACACATAGAAAAATATACATAAAGATGAAAAAGAGACGATAAATGGAGACACTAGTTATTTAAATAAATGAATGAAGCGCTGTACAGCCCCACTAATACAGCTTTACATAATGAACACCACGCTGGTGTAAAGAAACACCATAACAAAAGCTCTCAAAGAGGGTTTAGGGGCTCCAGGGAGGTGATGATAAAGTTTAGATTTTCTTTTAGGGCTTCAGGAAATGGCAAAAAAACTATCATATTGTGAATATTTTGATGAAATTACCTTTATTGAAGCCAAACAAACATGTTGTCTTACTGTTGGAGCACAAGATTTGTACTCTCTAATCTCTGCAGCCTCTTTATGGTGCTATTTAACACACATTTTACCTTTTTATCAACTTCTGTGATTTGATTATTGCACTTGGCCCCCTTTTTCCTCCATAGTATGCTTTTAATTTGAAGTAAGGACTCAGAGATCAAATATGAGAGCCAGAGTAGATAAGAAAGTATGTAGACATGAAATACCGATATAATCCGGCTATTGTCTGGGTTAACCGGCACACTACAGCTTACTGTTACATAAAAAAAGACATAAATTCACTAAAAAAAGCTCTCAAACAACATAAAACCTCATTTTGTTTTCTAATATGTATCAATATAAAGGCTCCAACTGAAACATTAGACTATAAATTAACAGAAAGTAAAGTAACAACATGCCGACACTGTAACAATAGCTGCCACTGGCTTGAGTTAGATTACACTCTTATTTACATCTTTATATGTTTATATGTTTATTTCTATCAGTTTCTTCTCAGTAAAGTCGACAGGAAGGTGAAAGTATCGTCGGGACAAGCTCAGGTGTGGTTAACCTGAGTTACAATGAAGCGGCTCAAAGTAAAAAACTTACCCGGGAAATAGTCAGCGGCTGCTCGAAGTCCTTTCCCCCGACCAGCCTGAAGCCCCAGGGCCCGGGACCCTGCACTACTACCCGCAGAGGCATAACGTTACAAACAAGAGCAAGAACAAGAACAAGAAGTCGACTGTTAATGAGTTTAAAGATCTGTCTCAGACCACTCGGCTCACTTCCTCACCGCCTTTATGACATGTGCAGAGATCGATAACCAGGAGCTGGAGCCTGTCTCTGCAGCGGCGGAGGAGGGGGAGGACCCTCAGGTTACAGTTGGACGAATAGATTTTGAAGTTTCCTCGCTGATAAGTGAGAGCACAAAAGATCGTGTGTTGTGAAAATGGATCACTCTGTCATATATATATATATGTGTGTGTCTGTGTGTGTGTGTGTGTGTGAGGTGATTTTGTCTCAGAGGCCAAAGTCAGAACTGCAGGTCGACAGAAACAAACTTTTTATGTGTCATATTTTTATTAAAAGACCAAAAACAACAATTGAAAGCATAATAAAGCTTATTAGAAACACAAACATAGTTCCCTCAGTGTCTGAAATGGACCAGTACTCACAGGTATTCTGGGACAGGATCATTACTTCTTATTGAGTACCTCCACCTCTGTTGAGTGTAGGCATGTTAAGGTCACCAAGATCTTTTATAGCTTAAAAGTCCAAAAAAAACTACTAAATATTAAGATGCATTGATTAAAACACCTAACCCCGCCCCCGCTCAGAAAACAGCACAGAAAATGTCCTTGTTAAATATGATGAAAAAAGGGCAAATGATTATGGTTAAGTTGTGTAGAATTTTTTTTTGGTCCAATTCAGGCACATTGTTCCCTTAATACACAAACACGTCCTGCTGCTGTAAATATTTACCAGAGCACTGAATGTGTATTAATCTGCAGGACTGCAAATGAAAATAGTTCCCAACAAATCCTGGTTTACTCCGATTTGGATAAAAACATGCTAAAAATGCACATTTTAAGCCTTTAAAAAAGCATTGGAACAATACATTTGTGGCTCATTTTGAAGGGAAAGTCTTTTTTAAAATGGGATTTATTGACAATAAGGAAAAGATCTTCCTTTAAACTGAGAATAAATCATTTACATCACAGACATAAAAAAAACCATTAGCTTTTTGTTTGTTGTATCACAGAGCAACTCCAATCTACAATCTTATTTAACCTCCTCGCTTCCAGGATCAAGTCTGGATAAAAACCTTTCGTAGCAGCTGAATAAACTTAAGTGAATTTGGAGTTTTTATATGAGTAATACCAGTTAAAATACAGCACTTAAATGCAGCTTTACTCCTTTTACTAACTGAACCTCTGATGAAACCAGAGCAGAGTGATCCCTCTTCACATTTGGCTCCTCTCGGAGGAGCTCCAGTGTTTGCTTTAGGGATGTCGGCCTGCCAGTACGTCATCTGTTATATGCAAGCTTACCATTTATGGTAGAGCTAAATCCCAGGATGTGGAATGTGCCGCTCCCAAAAGTTAAATTCCTGGTAGAGGATCTGTGCTGAAAGTGGAGAGAAAAAAGGCTCCGGGCAGGCTGACGGAGTGAAAACACGTCCTTTCTTGTGGAGGAGGCCTTACATGCATCCTTAACAGGCCCTCAGTCTCTGACACGGTTTGCTTTAAAGTGAAGCTCTTAAGAGTGTGAAGTGAAAAGTGCTTCTGATCTGTCAACATCATCACACTAATGGGATTTTACTGTAGCTTTATACCCTCACAGAGCAGCCAACATTTAAAGTCTCCCTCCACTCAGAAATATGTTTTATCTTCTCCTTCCTACAGTCGGATGTTTGAGCTTCACTGTGCAGGATGATGGATGTGCAGAGTTTGACACCAGAAGGATGTTTTCACATTCATCTTCTAGAAAGTTTCTCTGAGCTCACTGAAAGTCTGATGTTAAGGAGGCGGGGGCCTACAGGCATGATTAGTGACATCAGAAATAGTTTGCAAGTCAATCAAGGTCCAATAACTTGTGTGATGTAGAAACTTGAGACCACCAATGCAGACACTGAGAATGGACTTTATAGTGAAGTAGGAGACCTCTTGTGTCCAGAAGGACTAATAAATAAATCTTTTTAAGGGTTTTAATATGAAAAATTATACTTAAACACATCAGACACACTTTATTGTTCCAAGCAGAGTGTTTGTATACTGTAAAACTTCAGTTAATATCCCTTTAATTCCTTTTTCTTTTACAAAACTCATCCGAAATACTGGTAAAATTGATTGCTGTTGAATAAAATATCAATATTTCCATAAAATAAACTGATCAACTGAATTATGGAGACTGTCCATATTGAGAAAAGTGTTAACATTTATATTTGTGTAGGCGATTGAGGCAGCTGGTGAGCTTTAAGAGGTTTTATACATCCAAAGAACTTCCACTATTACTGTCAAACCATGCAGCCAAACCAATCTAATACAGGAGACCTGCGTCTGATTGGGACCCTTCTTTTAATTAAAGTTTTACAGTATATCTTAATACATTTCTGGAGGGGATATTAAAGTAATCTCACTGACATTACAGAAGTCTTATTTCACACCCTGTGCCATTCATTTCAACAAATGTTCAGGGTGTAACCAAACTAATGTGCTACATTAAAGAAAGATCATCAGATAACGATATGCAGTTCACCAGCAGTTCCACCTTTAAATCACATGATTTTCCAACTGTGCCTTTAAAAACCACAAACTGCACTTACTCGTTTCAGCTGCTACCTTCTACTATCATTCAGATCTTGGCCAGAAATCAAAAACACACCAAAAAATGGTTTAAATGGTTTATTAAATATTGCATAATACCGAAGTCACAGCAGTGTATAGTATCTTTATTTTAATATTGTCAATGTAACAGCACTGCAAATTGAAGCAAACAAACCAAACCTGTTGCAGGTTGTGCGTCTCATCAAACTAGACCATTCTTATGTTTATTAATTATTAAGTTAAAGCATTGTGTCACACTTTTTTAGGTACTTGCACAGTAACTGACAAGTTCTTAGTAAATGTTCTCCCATCACAGAGACTAGGACTAATGGGAAAACCATGGTTACATTAAATATGTCATGGATACATTTCAGTGATACTCCAAAGAAAAAAAACATTAAATGAAAATGAGGCACGTTTTTTTTTTGCGTCTAACATAAGGCATTATGATCCTCACAAATGGCAGCGTAATGTTCATATACGTCAAACTTCCTGTGCTCGGTAACGCTCCACTCTGTGCTTTGCCAAAAAATCCTTCAGGTAAATAAACGGCTGTGAGTGACAGAGAGCTCCATCTGACGCTCCCATCACTCGCAGTCTATTTTTTTTATTTTACATATTTACAATCCTTCCTGTGCCATGCCGCTCGATAATCTGCACGTTCATTTGTTTGTTTTCTTTTTTACATAGTACGTGTGCGTTGGCCACATTCATATATTCATACATTCATACATCCTGTGATGTTTTATGGGGCACAGAAACAATCTAGAGTGAGTTTGTGTTACGACTGAATGAGTGATTGTTATTTATAGCGTGTTGGAGATGGAGCGGACCTTTTGTTCTGTCCGGGAAGAAAAAGCCAACAGACTCCCAACCAATCAGCACATTCATGTGGAGCTGGAGTTACACAGGAACAAAAATGTTTAGCCAGCAGTGGAGGGAAAAACATGCTTTTGTGGTGTAACAAAATACCTGAATATTGTGTCAGTGCTATACAGGCAAACCCAGAATGCAGTGTATTATATTGACTGTTTGATCTGCACAGGAAGAAACACCTGATTTTGTCTGCAAACGTCAGAGCAGCGGTGTGTCCAGAGACGGGGCCTGGGGTGCCTCAAGTACCTCCCTTATTATCCTTACCTCTTCCACTCTGCAATGTCTTCCATTGACCTCTGACCTCAAGATATCTGAATGAAAATGGGTTATATGGGTACCCATGAGTCTTCCCTTTGCAGACATGTCTGCTTTATGCAAATCTCATGCAGTTTAAGGCAAAACCTAGTAGCAGTTCTTTTAATTTAACTGGTATAAGTGTGTTAATTTTGCCTATTGTATTTAAATATTTGTGCATACTGGGAGTCCCTAAACTGTTTTGGTATTACATGAATCGGGAATGACCCCTGCAAAAGTCACTGCCCCACCCCAGTCAAAAAAGTCTGGACACGCCGCTGCATCAGAGAGGATGAAACACTGATTGCTACTGAATTTTGTTAAATTAATGTCCTTCATCAATTATTAAACTTCATATATCACACACAAACCAATCAGGTTCATCGTCACTGCACTGAACTGTAGCTAACACATTCAAACAAAGACATAGTAAACATACACTTTTAGATCTAGTGAGAGTTGCTGTTTTCAATACTTCACATTATGTTTCTGATTTTGTAGGCGATCATAAAGAGTTGCACTAAAAGGTCGGCCCACCGATAGTCTGGCACGATTTGATTAGAAATGTGCGGATTGGGGAAAAAAGGATCCGACTTCAGCTACTTGGAGCATCAGATCGCCCGCTACCTCGGTCCTCCTGGTATATAAACTAAACTGACTTTAAAATACTTCTCTAGCGATTGCCCTACAAACTGCATCCGTCTGGTAGTCGGAGCAGGTCACAACAAGCTCTGAGTGCTGTTTGACAGCCTTTGCTGAGGATTGATGAGCACAGTGTAGCGGTTGATGACAACGAGGAATTTGATGGAAACACAAGCAAGGAAAAAAAACAATAGCTATCATCTCTCAAACTGCGCGTGTGGACGATCTACTCTGACATGTGGTGTCTGTTACAGGATCTGAATGTGCTGGAGATGAGGGAACTTTGTACTCCGAGGATTCAAAACCATCTTCCATCAGGGAGCTGCTGAAGCTCAAAGATCAGTCTGTTAACCCTGTCATCACTTCTGTTTTCTTTAAGCTAAAGGCGGCAAATATAGTGTGTGTTTCATGCTCCGATTTGATTTGTCAATCTCTTATTGATTTTACAGTGCATGCTGGACTAATGCTGACCTTATTATTTAAATCATTCCTACCCAAGTTGTATTCATTACATATGAAAATATGTAGCCATATTTGGAAAGGCCTCTTAAAGTTTTCTGTACACATTTACATGGCTAAAACATACAATCTTGTCAGTAAGGGCATGGTTAAAATCTCAATATGCTTTTAAAAATCACTGATTATTTTCTAAGACACCTTGTTGGCTTTACTTAAAACATTTAATAGCTTTTTTGTGTCATCACTGATTAATATGCTATTATCTTTGTTAGGTGGGATCTCCCTAAATTTCCAAACAGGAAGTTAAGTGCTACCACGCCTGTCCTGTGGTTGCGCTGGAGCACAGGCGTCTACCACCAGCTACCTTACAGGCATCAGCAAACACAGTTTACTTCTATTTTGACAGAGAGGTATAAAAAGGACAAATAAATAGTTTGTGAAAATATAGGATGTGCATATACACAGTTTCTCTTTTATCAGACATGCAACACATGTCCTGTATTTGTGGTTGCTGTGGTAAAAAAAAGAGAAGCTAACAGCACACTTCAACATTTTAGTGTTTCTCGTCATGCACATGACTATGTAATAACTGTTGTATAACAACCTTTGGATAGAAAATGAAGGCAATACTGAACCGGTACCTAAAGCTTTTGGGTGTTGTAAATGCTGTGATGTTTTTAAAAAGTGACCAATACTGACTTAATGATGATTCAGAGAATGTAACAGAAAGTAAAACAGACTTCGAACATAAGGCTTAAAGTATTTAAACTCTGGAGGTCATTTTCTCAAATCTAAACTGAGTAAAATTGTCCACCACATTAAATTTCATACATGTACGGTATGTTGATCCAAACACTGAAGGTTTTCTTTTGGAAGCAACGTCTAAAAGACGGGAAACGCCTTTGAATCGTGAGATGCATGGTGTTCGCATCATACTTAGCTAATCACGATGAACACGTCTGGGTCCTGAAAGGTAGCTCATGACAAACCGCTCCAACCCCACATCACATAAAAATACATTCTGAATCCTCCAAAGTCCACTTCAGGTAATAAGATCCACTCTTTGATCCATACACTGCTCTGCTGCCGGCCTCCACACTGAGGTGCTACGTAAACACTTGTGTACTGTAGATTACATGGACAAAATGGAAGCTATTATCTGTACAATAAAAGCTAGTTTGTGGTAAAGTTTTCTCAGAGAATTTCCACATGAGGAGACGGACGAATTGTGTGAAATGTGGTCAAGGTGTACACCATACTGAGGTCTGGGCATTGAGCTGTCTCTGTCTCCGCCGCGTGCAGTTTGACATACCTCAGGCCAACCGTTCACTTTCCCAGACAAAATGTATTCGCCTGGCTAAATTACTATGCTAACCAACAGCCATGCGCGATAGTAATGACTTCCCAAGCTTGACAGGCAACCGTGTGTCAGATTAGACAGCCAGATTAGATATCTTTACAGTTTCACCTCCTTCACGTAATTCCCGGGGAAAGTCCCAAACTGTTTCGTCCTCTTTGAGGTACCTGTAGAGGAAAAAGAAAGAGAAACATGAATCAGGAAAATGGATAAAACTATCTCGATTTTAGTACAAAAATAACTTATTTTAGCTGTATTTAAAATTAATTCCAAGGCCTGTGCATGCATCATCTGCTGTCACTCTTTAGAAACCCTATATGGAAGGATGTGACATGGTGAAAATGAATCTACTTCTCCAGGAGCCCTGAGCATGCAGTCCTTTGCTGTCATTCTGCAGAAACCCTATATGGATTAATGTGACACAGTGAGTGTGACTGCACCTCTGAGGAATCTATCCCGAGGGCTGCGACACATACCGACAAACCAGCCGTCATCGCACTTCTCCATGACGCTGACGAGATCTCCCTCCCGCAGCTCCAGCTCGTCCTCATTCTGCGGCACGTAACTGTACAGAGCCTGGAAACTGGAGCAGGACACGAGAATAAATTGGTAAACTTGCGACACCGAGAGGAGACAAAATGTGAAATCTGTACAAATCAAAAAGGGTGGGTGAAACTGCAACACAGATCTTACTCACATTCCACAACTGAGACGGCTCGGCTCCGGACTGCTGCTGTGGGACTGGGGTTGCTGGGAAATGATGAGAGATTGTTTACTGGGGTGGGGGTGTAGTCTATGGACAGAGTCATGAGGGTGGTGGGACAGGGTGCTGCAGTACCTCACCGAGGTCTCAGCTATATTCAAGATCTCATTACACACTGCCTCCTAGTAGTGGTAGTAGATGAAGTCGTCAGAGAAAGACAAAAACAGCGGCCCCGCCGAGAGTCGAGGCCGAGGTGAAGTCGAGGGTGGGGAGGTGAGGAGTTAGAGAGGGAGGGGAGGCGAAGGGCGTGACAGGAAGGTAGGTCCAGTGAGTAGCAAGGCAGAAAAGGAAGTGATCCATTAAAAGCCGGGGGGAAGAAAAAGCAGAGGAGACGTTGGTGGAGCCCACGAGGGAAGGCATGAAAAAGGCAAGACACCAGAGTGAGAGCATGTAGACAGGAAACATGAAATATTAGTTCACCTCGTTTACAGGATACGACTCAGAATGAACATTCAGTATTAAAGGGAAGCTGACAGGTACTGCTTAAGGGAATAGTTTTGAGTAAAAGTACTGTTGGGTATTCGCTTTCTTGCTTGAGAGTAAGATGAGAGGGTTGATGTCACTCTCATATCTGTCAACTCAGTATGAAACCTGAAGACAGCAGCCAGTTAGCTTAGCTTAGCATAAAGACCTCAAAAAGGACAGAATGTTAATAGTTGGAAACTCTGGTGATGACAAGATAAAATCACCGCGCCCAGCCAAGTAATCGTTCCCCAAATCCTCTGGGTTATCTACAGATTGAACCAACAAGATATAATGTGTTATAGGGATATTTTGGGTTTTATGAAGTGGGGTTGAATGAGGTCCTTAAAGTCAGTGTGTGCTATATAGAAATAATATTTTCACTACTTTATCTCGCTGCCAGACGGCGTTTCACTTGTGCTCCAAACAGCTGATCTGCAGTGTAATACAGAGCGCTGCACAATTGGGCTCATGTGTAGGAAAACAGAAGTCCTACAGTTAGTGCGAGAGAAAAAGGCTGTCTGACAGCGAGGCAAAGTGGTGAAAATATTCTTAATATAGTGTAAACTAAAACGTATATTGATCTTTTAAGGTTCTTTTAAGTTTTCTGCTGTCCTGTCCACAGCAGATCATGGAGCGTGCTGACTGCCATCTACTGTACCTCTTTAAAAGCCCTTAACTATACTTTTAATTAATGAGCTTTGGAGGTTCTTGTAGGTGGATTTTAATAGTTTTGGATGCAGCTGAGCAAACAGTTTCCCCGTTTTTAGTCATTATGATATGCTAAGCTCAGCTAACTGTCCGCTACCTAAGACATGAGAGTGATCTTCTCTTTTAACTTTCAGAAAGTGAATATGTTTTTTCCCAAAATGTTTCAGTGAAAGGATAGTTCTCTAATATCTCACAACATGTAGCACAAATATAGAAGACATAATGGGAGTTAAAGATGACGTGAGTCAAATGGTATTTGAAGGTGATGGGTTAAGAAAGTTAAACAGATGATGGCTATACATTGTCATCAGTGAAGGTCCGGAGAACTGTGTACCAGCTTACCGCAAATGAGTTAACATTGTTGTTATCTTGGATGTCAAACAGCATCACAGGGCTTCTGGAGCTCCGCCCATGATGGTCAGCCTCATTCCTCACAAACTGCAACACAAAAACATCCAATCAGCAAGCACATTTTCAAAATAAAAGCTTTTCCTCTCTAGAGATCCCACCACGTATCCACCTGCTGTAAACATTTCCATATGTCAGTCACAGTCAGGTTGCATTTCATTGTAGGTGGAAATTTCAACCTCGCAGCAGCTTTTGAAACAGAAGCCAACATGTGAAACCTATAAATACTCACTAATAAATATGTCACTGTCCTAAATAAACTTTCGGCCTCCAACGGCATCCGAGTTGTCACACCTCTACATGGAACCACAACATCATGCAACCAAATGCTGGATTTTATGAAGGGAAGGAAACTTGAGCTCTCAAATTAATCCAGGAAATATAAACACAATAGCTCCTCTGACAGTCATTTACTGCTATGAAATCTGAAACTCACTGTATACACACTGAAAGACACTGTAAAACGTTGGCGTGTTAGTATCGCACACAACAACAACATGCAAACTTGCAGCCTTGAGCAGTGTTTTAACTTATTCTGCCTCCACAAAACCAGCAGATTCATCCCTCCATGGGGCTAAAATCAACTTCAGGAAAAATCAAAGTTAGTCACGTCTTCCACACACATCAATATCAGCTTCAGTACTCCATCGAACATCTAGCTTTGGGAATCAAACTGTGGCCAAAAGCCCTTGTTTCAGAGTGAGCCTGAGATGCAACACCACACACCATGCAGAAGATATACCTCTGCAGGGCTATTTCGCCTGCTGCCCGGGGCTGCGTGGCCCCTGTCCCCCTCTGCGCCTTCCCCCTCTGTCAACTCCTTCTCCCCCCTCAGCCAGCCCTCCAGCACCGGCCCGCCACAGGGGCTCACGCTGCGTGACAGACGTGAGGAGGGAGGGGAGAGCAGGAAGTCCTCTCCCTGGGGTGGGGTGAAGGTGAGGAAGGGAGTGGTGGAGTTGGGTCTGGGCGGGTAAGGCGGGGGAAGAGGGGAGGCAGCTGGGGAAGCCGTAGGGGAGACGCAGTACGGGCTGCCGGTGATGGGAGGCACGGGGCTGACGGAGAAGGGCGGGGGCAGGTACTCGCCGCAGCGGTAGGACACGGTGGGCAGCGGCGGCAGGGGAGGAGTGGGGGCGGCAGGAGGGCTCCCTCCTCCCACAGTCAGGGAGATCCACTCAGAGGAGATAGCGTGGACCTCGGGGGAGACGGAGCGGCGGGGGGAGCGAGGCAGGGGCAAGGGGGAGGTGGTCAGGCGATTACGATACAGCTTTTAAGAGGAACGTGGGAGGAGGAGGAAGATGGAAGCAAAGAGAAGAAGAAAAGGAAATGAAAGATGAGACAAAAAAAATCAAATTAAAAGGTGGGTGTCAAAGTATCACGAGAGTCGTGATAAAAATGTGGGTCAACGTTTCACTACATCCATAAACGTCTCCTCCCAGTGTTTACCTGAGGAGAAGCGTTGGTGCTGCGCTGTGGAGATTGGCTGACAGGAGGGTCGGGATAGTCCAGCCCGTTTTTGACGCGGGGTCGTCTCTGCACTTCTACATAGGTGACGGGGAAGATGCCTTGGCGGTTGGTGCCTGAGATTTTGCCTTCATACCAGTTTTCATCAACTCTGCGGATCAGCGTGATCCTCTCTCCCTGCAGGTTCAGAATTTTGTTAACAAAATATGATAAAAAAAGCATCTGTTGCACTTCAGTTTGTAAAGACTATTTATCGCTGCACACCTTTCTGAAGGACATTTCCACCACTGTGTCTCCGGTGAAGTTGAAGCGGGCGACGGCCTCTCCATACTCCAGTACCTGCACTGGGACGCTTTTCTTTGGCTGGGCTTTCTCTGTGGGGGGAAGGAGCTGAAGAAGGCAACAAAGAACAAAACTGACTGAGTAGAAAACACAAGTTGATTTCAACTGTGCAGCAGAATAAAAACCCCATAAAATATCTATTTATAACCGTCTTGGACACAGTGGACCCCTCTGGACTGGACTTAATTCTACTTAATTAACAATGGAACTAACTACATCATACCCTGGTAATTTAAATGTAATTATGTCAGCCTGGTGGTGTGTGTGTGTTTTATTTTGTGTCTAAAGCTGTGACTCCTGCTGTTTTTGTGTGTCATAAAGGCAGTCCAGAAACTATGAAAAATGGAAATATATGTAATTGTTGCCAGAACCTCGATAAAAAAACATCTATTAATGGAAAATGTGAAAAACTGATAAACTGTTCTTGTTTGAAGAGTAATTACTGTGAGTGAAGAAAGAGAGAGTCACATACCTCGACATAACTTTGAGGGAAGATGCCAACTCTTCCATGATGTTCCCCTTCATACCAGTTCTGATCTACCTGTCGAATTATGTAGACAATGTCTCCCTTCTGAAACGGTAACTCCCTACAAATGTCCCAAAGAGATTAGTTTATCACATGAAATGAACAATTATACAGTATGAAAATGAAGTAAATGTGATCTCCTGCTGACCCACTTCTATCTGTTGGGTGGGATTTATTATTATTATTCGGCTATTCTAAACAGTTATTTCCTGTGATTGTATGATTTTGCCAATAATCACTTCAGCCAGGTCTTTACAGTATATAAATCTACATGAGGATCATTAACACCTCTAGATAATGTAATGTAACCAACAAATATCTCTTTTTAATTTATTTAAGCAGGTAAAAAACAGCTGAGATAAATTCTTGTTTTACCACCTGTTGTGGGAGCTTGATAGATAGATAGATAGTACTTTTATTATTCCAACCAGGATTTCACAGGCTCTTTTGGGACTGTTGCAACCTAAAATGCCTGATTTTACAGCAAGAAAATAGTTGTTATTTTTTGTATAATTCATTACAAATCAAAGGTAACTTGAGTTGAGTTGTAACTCCAGTGAGAGGGGATAAATGTGAGATGTTTGAGTCCCACATGTCTGCATCTTCACAACTAGGAACAAAGAAGTGAGTTTGGTGACGTATGGCTCGTTTTGCGTAGGAAATTACAATGGTGTTCCTTCCTGGAATGACTATTTTATTGATACTGTGTCAGCTCAATCGTCCTTTTTAAGGCTGTATTTTCTGATGTTGTATTGGTTGTGTTTATGGCATTTCCACCCCCACAAACACACTACACATATTCAGATTATTTCCACTTACTTTAGAGTCTCTGCTCTGAAGTCGAAGCGAGCCATGGCTGGAGTTCTCTGTGTAGATATAAAAATAAAAGCTGGGTGACTCTTATTTCATGACTACAACCACATGAATATTACTCTTGGCATTGTAGTGAGTCAGTGAAAATTATCCAAAAGACTGAATACCCTTATGTACCTACGTCTTTGTCACTTT